TCCCTAGAAGTCCAGAAGAGCCCTGGTGTCTTGCCAAGCCAGGTTTCTCTCTACACTAAAGCTCTCTAGGGTGCACTGACTCACTCATCTGTTTCCAAGTGCAATGGAAGGTCTTTATTTTGAACATGGTTAGAGCTCTGGTTATATTACAGGCTGCCTCTCTCCTTGTACATTATCTAGCTGAGATCAGCTGAGGCACACCAGCTAACTGCATTTGAACACAGGGAGCCTGAGTGTGCTGGATAGAGAACTCTCCTCCATTGAATTCTCCTTGACAGAGGTTGGCCTGAACCAAGCCACATTTTTCTGGCATGCTGCAATGCTTGTCCGTTCAGCCAGCCCTTTTGAGGAAGGTGGTTTGAATTTCATTGGTGGGATGGGTTCTTTTTGAATTGACTCTTCTTTCTGATTGCTTCCATTTACACGTGAACATAGATGCCCTCAGAGGGTCACTTCAGTAAGTTGAACAATAAATGAAGCAGATACTGCACTACACTGCTAAAGAAAATGGTAGACAAAGAGGGAGATCCTGCAGGTACATTGTGTCTGAGTCTCGAAAGGGAAAAGCCAACTTTTAATAATCCTGCGCGGCCTGCAGTTGGCTATGAATGAAGTAAGACTATGAAAGAAGTAAGACTTATCACTTGATCTCAAAGCAGTTTACAAAGGTGGTTAGATATTATTTATATTATCATAGTGCCTAGGCACCCCAGCCATGGACCAGGCCCATATTGTGCTAAGAGCTGTACAAACACAGAGCAAAAAACACCATTCCCTGCCCCCAAAGAACTTACACTCTAAGAAATTCGGTTTTTTTTTTCTTTTTCGTTTTCAGATGGGGGATACTAAGGCACAGAAGAGTGCAGTGACTTGCCCAAGGTCCCAAAGCAAATAGCCTCTGGTCTATCATCGTGTATATAACAAGGCAGAGACAGGAGCGGAATTCCGATCTCCTGACTTTCAGTCTAGTGCCCTGCTCATTGAACCACACAGCATGCTGAAAGGGAAACCGCCCCCTAGTACTAGTGTTCAAGAAAACAAGACCGTAAAAAAAGAACATTTACCATAAAAATAACTTAACACGATACTGCCTAAGAGAGCCAGTGCTGGGCATGTGTGAAGGGGAGGAGGAGGAGGAAAGCTGTGTACCAGCTAAATATAGGTAGCCAAGAAACGGGAGCAAGAGCCAGTCTGCAGAATACTTTCTGTGCTAAGAGGTGCTAGGTAAGGAGGGATTCAAGCATTTTACATCTCTGAAAGGAAACTCTTCTTGAAGCTGAACTTTTAGGGCCTGGACTATTTCACACCCAAAGGAAAAGAGCAGAGAGGTAGCACATGGGAATAAAAGGTAAGACCCAGGATAGTAGTCTCTCAGGATGCATAGAACCCATGGGAAAATACATGCTACGGGTTTGGGGATAGTAATATTACAGGGGAAAATCCATTGCACCATTTGCCTTCCCAACTATTTATGCACTTCTCCTTCAGCCCCATTTCTGACTCCCTGCCTTCCCCCTGGTTGTCACAGGATCACTGTAACCTCTCTCTGGGTGGGAGAATCCTGCATTCCAACCTTGAGGGCAGTGATAATTCAGGGGTGTCCGCCCATTTCTCTGGACAGCTCACTTCTGCAGCACCTTACATGTTTCACAGATTGTTAATTGGAGCAAAGAGTTCTGATCTTGGGCTGCTTTGGTGGAGACTGAGAATGAGTCACAGCATTGGAGTTACATTGGGACAGAGAGCGTAAGAAACCTTGAACGCTAAAAACAAACCTGCCTGCAGCTCAAACTGAAATCTGGGACATTTAAACAATGGGGCATGTTCTCAGTCTCCAGGGCTTCCCAGTGATGTGGTGTTTCCACTCAGAACAAATCTAAGCAAGTCTGTGAAAGGTGGAACCCAGTTGAAGATTGCCTCTTTCAGATTAAACAACAGACTCAGCTCACCTAGCTGGTCACAAAGTGGTAATTTGTGTCTTTGCGTTCTTTTACCTGAATGAGGTGATAACACACCATTAATGTTACGGAGATCTATGTTGCTGTGAATTCACATGTTAAAGGCACCTGTGCCTCAATTCCCCTTCTGTCAAACAAGGATAAAATAGTGTTTCCCTAGCTCACAGGAGGTTGTGAGGATAAATACATTAAAGATTGCGAGGCATTTGCTATACAGTAATGGGCACTTGTGAGAAATCCCCTGTGGAAGGCTGCCTTGAGCATCACTTTGTACTCGCTAAACAAGCTTACAGGTTACACCCAGGAGATGCAGGTGGATTTTTTTGCAGTTAAGACAGGGCTTTTTACTGTGTAGAAGTCACTCTTACAGGGGTTCTGGAACAATTTGTATAGTGGGGGTGCTGATAGCTATTGAACCAAACTGTAAGCCCTGTATATGGTGGAAACCACTTCAAACCAGAGGGTGCAGCAGCACCCCCAACACCAATTCACTCTTAGTACCTATTACACAACCCAAAACCAAGCTAAAAAACCTCCACCTCTGGGCCGGATCCCTCCACAGTTTGCGTCTTCTAGTCCCACCTGGCACAAAGCCCAGTTACAGGCTTAAATTTTCCAAGAGCCCTAGGGGATTTGTATGCCCAAGTCCCATTATAATTAATGAAGGCCTTCAAAACCCTTCAGAGACTTTGAAAATCTCACCCATGCAACATCCATAGGCTGGAATACATTTTTAGCAGCCAATGATTGCATTCCATCCCTCTGAGTTCTCATTGGCTACTACAGCTAGCGATGGTGTAAAGTGACAAATCAATAGTTGCTATTTTGGAGCATTATACTATTTTACTCTTTGAGCAGCTGATCTGGCATCTCTGGTTCCATCACACTGATTGCGTTGCTCCAAATTAAGCTACAGACAATAGCTGGAACATTCAGCATAGCTAGTCTTTTGTTACTCCAGTCTTGGGGAGTCTAAATGAATTCCCACTGTTATTAAAGTATTTCAGCGAAAAGTCGTGCTGCCCCCACAGCGAGGGGTCTGTCAAAAATGAGTGCACGGCTAAGGGACGCTCAGCCTTTCACCTCCACTTCATTATAGTAGGAGAGCAAATTAAACAGCAAATAGTATCAGCCTTAACAGCTGACTTCTAAATTCTCTGAAATCCACATGCTGCCTCTGATTGTTTTGAAAACTGTTGTGCCTCCCTGAGGACCCAGATCAGTGGTCCAAATGCGAGGTCACTTGAACAAGGGGTTCCTAAGATATAGTCCCCTCAACCCCCCAAACAGCCAGACATTAACTTTTTTTTTTAAAACATATCCTGAAGTTCAAACTATGGTCCTCATCCTCCCCAAACTGTTATCACCTGCTTGGGCTTGATCTCAGCTAGTCTTTGGACAAGCAATACTCAACACGATAGGCAGGGGGTAAAATGAGGTTCAAGCCAAGCCAACAAGCCAGAGATAGTAATTTGCACTTGTGCAGCAGGACTGGGACTCTGTTGCAAGACAGTTTACAGGCAGCCTGACAGTAAGCGGGTGGCTCAAGGTGCTGCACTGTTGTCGCTGAACCTGATGAGCAGCACCCACATACTGAGTCTGAGTCCTGCACGCGGCAGTTTTCTTAGAACCTGTGTTGTGTGCAGTAGTTTCTCTCTGCCTGCGTTCTGCGGAGGCTTCTGGAAATTCTGCCCTAAGAGCAAAGCTTCTGATTTAAGAGCTGATATTCCAAAGTGC